GCTAGTAATTGTTGTATATTTTAAATATGTAAAGTAATGTTTCACTACTTGTAGTAATGTGTTTAGGGCTTTGTAGGTAGCATGCTAATTGCCCAGTAATATAAGATATGTCTGACTGTGTGCAATCTGCAACATATCTTAACAATTCTACTATATTCATGTATAGTATTGTTTCATTATTACTTTTGTTTGTATTGTACATATTGTTTGTATTGTTAGATAGATCTATTCTGGGAGTAATAGGTGTTTGTAGTGCCTTTTTGTTTTCAAAGTGGTAATGCTTGATTATACTTTCAATATAATGCTTTTGCCATAAGCTAATCATTCTTTGAGGTCTATCTCAGCTTATTTCAATACCAAGTAACCAATGTATTTTGTTACTATTAGTGAATACAACATGTTGTCTTAACACATGTTTAAATGCTGTTATTATAGTAATAGTTTTGCCAATAATTGTAATATTGTTAATGTGTATAAATGTTACAAGAATTGTTTATTATTTTGTTTCTTATAAAATACAGTGTGATTGTAATTAGCTTGTTCTAATCCAATCTTAAGTAGTAGTTTGGTAATCTTCTTGTACTATTGTCTACCTGCTTGTTTCAATCTGTATAATGCTTTATTTAAGTATAATGCTTGTCTAGGTTTAATATCTGTAAGTAGCCTGCCTGGCAGTAGTTTCACATAAATGAGTTTGTCCTCATTTAGTTCTCTGTAAAGATATGTGGATTTTACATCTATCTGATGTATTTCATAGTTCTTAGATACTGCTCAAGATAACAATAATTGTACTGTTGATAGTTTTGTTACTAGGGCAAATAAGTTGTCAGAATAGAAGTCTATTCCATTCTTTTGAGTGTATCCTTACACTACAAATTGTGCTTTGTATTTGTCTATTTGGCTGTTAGCCAGTCTTTTAATTTTATAGACAAATTTTGTTCCAATTATATTTGTATTTGTAGGGGGGATAGTATATATCCATGTGTTTTGTTGTTAAAGTGACTGTATTTCATCCTTCATAACTTTGATCTACTGTTCTTTGTCTATACATGTTATAGTATTGTAATATGTTAATGGATCATTATAAACTTTGTTGAGGAATTTGTTAAATTCTGTTAGATACATAGTTAGGTTTATATTGTCTTTGTAATTTAAACCTATAGTTTGTTTAGCCAGTCTTTGCTCTTGTGTAGAGTGTTGTATGACAGGTTCTTTATCTTTATTATTGTTAATAGGAAGAGTTTTATCATTGTTTAATGTATCACTGTTATGATTATTCTCCCCTTCAATCTTAGACATTGGTTTGTCTATGAATTGTACATTGTGTTTGACAGTAACTTTATTATCATGACACACTAAGTGACCTTTACTGTTAGTATCATAACCTAACTATTGTGTGTATTAGCCTCTAGGTTGTAGTTTATACATTTGTTTGTTCTGTATAATACAATATGTGCTGAATTCTCATATATTATCTATTTGATAATGTTTGTTATACTGTTTGTAATATGGTGTTGCAAAATTAATAGTAACTCTTAGTGTTCTGTTATGAATAAATGTTTGATATTATACTGTATATACTCAGAATTTTATAGGTAACTTTACTGATAACAGACATGTATGTACACTGTTAAAGATAGTTTTATACATACATTCTACAACTCTGTTCTGCTACAGTGTATCATGTACTGTTAATCTATGTATTATTCCTTGACTTTCAATATACATAGTAAAGTCTTTACTTAGGAACACTGTATTGTTATCACTTTAAAGAGTTTTAACTCTTATACTGTACTGTGTAAAGAGTCTTGTTGTATACTTTACATATTCAGTGAAAGCATTGCTTTTATACTGTATAGGTAACATAGTTACCTATTGTGTAGCATTATCTACAATGGTAAAAAGATATTCATACTTGCTGTAAGCTTGTACTAGGGCAGGTTCCCAAATATTAATGTGGAGATGATCTTCATAAGATTGTGTAAGAGGTGTAGTTTGTATTTTTGGTATTTCATTGTGTTGTATGTTTGCTTTGATACAATCTGTACACTGTGCATTTTTATTGTCTGTTATCCTTTGACTTATAATCTCAGAATACTCTTGTATGAGTTTGTACAAGTAATTGAAATTAACATGACCCATTTGTCAATGTAAATCAATGATAGTGATTGTGTTAATAGATTGTTTATTATGATGAGAAACTATCATATACAAGTTATTTTGTACATGTATTTCACTAATCTTTGTATAAGCAGGAGAATAAATAATACATTCATTGTTTTTTTTATTAAAACATATCCTGCTTTACATAATAGCACTTTACTAATGAGTATGAAGTTCAGATTAGGATGATAGTATACATTTTGTAGTGAAATTGTATTCACCTTAGTATGCTCATTGGCTTTGTCTCATAGTTTTATGTTAAATGTTATTACTCTACTTTTGCTAAGTGTGAATAACAATTTATTTGTAATTGTAATGTTTATTAGGGTCAAGTTCTGAACGTTTGTAAGACAGAACAAGTATAGAGTAGTGTGTACATTTGCACCAGAGTCCAATATATTAATACAATATATTAGTTCAGTATTATTATAATGTATTGTATTGATACATATGTTTGGATTGTAATTGAACTCCTTAATGACTTCTTTTGTATTGTCAAATGAGTTTGTAAAGTTGTCTACTTGCATGACACCATCCTCTTGTACTTTGAATACTGAGAATACATTAGATTCAGTAGATAGAGCAGATTAAGCTGCTAAAGCTTGATACTAAGGCTTCTACAATTGTAGACTCTAGTATTAGTGTTTCATTAATGTCTTTAATGAATACTGTTTTGTTATTACCTCCAATAAATACTGCTGTATTAAGTACAGGTTGAGACAATATAGTAGTAGTAGTAGAAGTAGTAGCTGTTTACCTATACTTTTTCTTTCAAGCTTCTGTTGTTTTGCTTGTTAGAGGGTTTTAGCAGTCTTTTAACATATGCCTGTACTTATTACAGTTGTAGTATTTAACTTTATTATAAGGCTTTGTTTTGCCTTTAGCTACACTTTTGCCTTTTGTTTGTAGGCTGTCTTGTTCAGTATCTTGTTTTGTTTGAGAGTACTGAGAATGATACTCAGTATATATGTTTTGTAATTTGTGTATCAACTTAGCTAGTGTTAGAATGTCTTTCTGAGCTACTGTAACTGTTAGTAGTTGATTATAATAGGTAATCTGCCTGTCTAGCATTGTTACTACCCATCTATACTCACAAGGAGTAGCAAGGTTAATTGCTGAGATGTATGTATCATTATTAGGGGCTTTATTATGTACAGACAACTACTTGTAGATTTGTTTGATATTGTCTAACATCTTATCAAACTGTAATACATACTCTTTTACTATAAACAATGTAGATATATCTACAGTATGTGTCATTGTTGTTTGAACATTGTATTGTTCAGAAAGCACCTTTATAAGACTTCTAACACTTGTATGTGTTATAAAGTTTGTATAAATTGTATCACTTATTGTTTTCATTATACAATAATACAAAATGTTGCCTGTATGTATGCTAGCATTATTAGAGGAAGGGGGATTGTGCTCAAGATGGTCTGAGAGTATTATGGTAGTGAGTACACTGTGTATGTATAAGTACTATATCTTGTATCCCTTTATACTAGCCAACTTTTCTGTTCCCTTAAAGAACTTTGTAATATTAGAGTCCTTCATTATAGTGTTAACAAAGGTATACATTGTAGACAACATTATAATAGGTTTAGAGGGAGAGGGAGGTCTAGGGCTTAGTGTACTAGTAGGAGGCAAAGGCATTCTGTAAGAGTGAGTATGTAGAGGCATTCAATAGGTACTAAGTGTAACCTCTGAGGTTACACACATGACTTTAGATAAATATAAAAGGGCTATTTGTAGATTACTTAGATCTCATCTTTGTACTTGCTCCTGTACTTAGGTCAACCTCTCATCAATCCCAGGTCTTTGCCTGTTCTGTGTTCTTGAGTGAGGCTCTAGCCTTTACACTTTTTTTTGAACATTACAAAATTTGAGGATTACCTCTTATCTGCTGCCTTTCACTTGTGCTACCAGATTGTCAGCCTCCCCCTGGCTTCCCCCCCACACATCCACTATCTACTACACATCTACAGTACTCTACAGTAAGACTCTAGTTAATTACAAGCTTCACAATTGCTACACTAAGATCCTGTTCAATATCCTGTTCACTCTTGAGAGCTTATAGGGACATTGTTATCTGCCTTCACTGTACTACCCTCTCCTAACAGACCCTTGCCAGATTGGTCCCTGGATTCTAGGAGAATGCATCAAGAAGAGTGTGTGTGGTTGTACCAGAGTTGTGTGTGTTACACATTATTGTGTGTCTGGTCAGCTGTCTACAATCAAGGTTCTACTACTCAAGAATATACTTTTACTGTACCACTTTGAGCAGATTATCTATGTCTGTCTCTACTCATGCTTCCCCTGCTACTCATTACAACCTCAAACCAGAGAACAATCAAACTTGAGCTTCTCAATCCTAAGAACAATGCTAGTCCTGAAATTGTGCAAGGAAGTACTATCTTAATACTACTACTAATATCTGGTCTGGAACTGTAGTGTAATTCTCTTCAGGAGCTGCAAATTCTATGCTGACAGATACTGTCTACTTTTAGTACAACAGACATTACAATTGAGCTGTCAACTACAGTATATTCATTGTATGCTTGTTGTACCTACTATAATATGTATCTCTCTATTATTAAGGTGTTTGTCAAGACTGTCTATTCCTTACTATACTATCTCTTGCTCTGTCACTGTCTAGTGTCTACTGTCATTGTCTACTGTTTACTAAGGGTATAAAGTCCCTTTCCCTTCCCTTCCTGTTTCCTAGGGTATACAGCCCCTTTTCCAGTTGTGGACCTAGTTAGGGTACTAAGCCTCTACTAGTGTCAATTCTAGTCTCAGACATATAGGGCCTCTACTAGTGTCACCTCCTGTTTCCTAGGGTATAAAGTCCCTTTTCTAGTCATGAACCTAGTCAGAGTACCAAGCCTCTACTAGTGTCAATCCTAGTCTCAGATGTTTAGGGCCTCTACTAGTGTCACCTCTAGTCCTGGACCTAGCTAGAGTATCAAGCCCCTACTAGTGTCATCCAGTCCTTTCCTTTCCTGTCCTGTCCTGTCCTGTCCTGTCCCTCTTTGTCCTTCTAGTATGAACAGAACCCCTGTTACCTCTACACACTCTGTTTTACCTACACACTACTTATACTCTCATTACTCTCAGAATTGGTGTGTCAATTTTGTCAACCTGGTCCTTCTACTCCTCCTAGCACTAACACACACCTGAGGATAGCTGTTCACTTCTCAACCATACATTTTGATCATTTTTTACCTCCCCTAAGTAGCACATACTAGCTTAACTGAAGAGTTGTTGAGTTCTCTTTATTATACACCCTGACTTCTACTCATACTCTCTACACCTTTTCATTAATGAGTCAAAGTCTTTCTAGGCTGCTTGTAATACTGTTCCTTATCAATGGCTTTGCTTGAGCTTACATCTGTCTCAGTCATACTATCTCCTCTATTCCTATTAAGGTCCCTGTGTGTTTTCATTAACAAGTTGAAGCTTGAGTCAAGGCTTTTCTAGACTTGTAACTGTGTGTTCCTTGTCTCCTGTTCTTACATCTTTTATTCCTTCTTCCTTCCCCTCCCCCCTTTCTATACCTTTCCTTTCCCTCTTCATTAATTGCTTCCCTACCCCCCCTTTTATTTCTTCAGAGTAGGGAAGAGTGTAACCTCTGAGGTTACACACATGACTTTAGATAAATATAAAAGGGCTATTTGTAGATTACTTAGATCTCATCTTTGTACTTGCTCCTGTACTTAGGTTGACCTCTCATTAATCCCAGGTCTTTACCTGTTCTGTGTTCTTAAGTGAGGCTCCAGCCTTTACACTAAGGCTTATAACCTTTTAACAAGTATAGTAGGAGTGCTCTAAATACTCTCTCTTATTAAGACATTAAGCAAGTGTCTGCCTTATATACTACATAGTAAAGTCTGATAGTCTGAGACATTCTAAGTACAGTAACTCTACATAAGGCAATTGGGGATTTCCTAATCCAGAGCACAATCTAATACTTGTAGTTTGTAATCTTTTACAAATAGAAATTCATTACTTTTCTCTTAATAAAACCTAGTATTATTTCTACTTGACTCTTAGGGAAATAATAAAGTCCTGATTGTTTTATATACTGATTGACTTTAATAACAAACTTTGTATACTTCTGTAAGTCTGGTTCACCTGAGTATACTGTAGGAGCTATTAGTTCTGTACTGTACATTTGTATCTTTAATTTAAGGAGTTCTTTATTCTGTTTCTTCCTCAAGTGTTTCTTACACTTCTTAGTAGCCTCTGTATCACTTGAATCAATATTTAACAGTTTGAATAAAGTATTACTTTGATTATTGTCATTAGATGAAGAGGAATCTGAATTATTACTATCTGAGTCTGATCCTAGGTTGAGATTTCCCTTTCTCTGTCTCCTAGAGCTCTGTATTACTCTGTATACATAACTATTCTTTGCTAGGCTCTCTGAAGGTCTTACTGATACAAATATACCTTTCTGAACATTATTCAGTACTTTACTATGTCTGTGTTCATTGTTTGTTCTTAAACTATAGCTAGAGCTATTCTTATACTTACTGTACTTAATATATGTCTTTGAACTGTATTGTTTACTGTACTCTGAATTAATATTGTTCTCACTAATACTACTAGTGTATGCCTTGCCTGGGACTGCTTTCAATTGCAAAGTATTGCTATAGGATTGTTTGTTCACTGATTTAATATAATGTATACTCTGATACTCTGAAAAACTTGGTATTTCTATTTAAGATTGTATATATCCAGGTAGTTCACTTTCTCTCTTATACCTAAATCTGGCTAGAGTGTTGTATCTATTGTAGTACTCCTGTACATTACTCCTGTACAATGTATAGTCAATATTTACTATGTATAAGGTTAAACACTTGATTTTGTAAGTGTATACTTGATTTTCACTCTCTAAATCAAGTACTAATCCTTGTAGTTCTAATCTGTATTCACTTTTACTATCCTCAAAGTACTGTTCTTGTTAGTAACAGTATAGAGGGGACCTGAAGGCTTAGTAAGGGGACTCAGGCTACAACTATTAAAACAATCAGTATTATACTAAGAACTGTACATTATATGTAGACAATCACAGTAATCAATTCCAAACATCCATATGACTTAGAAAAGTATATTCTGAGAACACCCAACTATTCTGTATTGTAAGTGTTTGTAAACAGAACTGTAAATGTGTACAGTCTCAGAATAGACTTACACACACTGCTTACCTTACAGGACATACAGATCACATACTTATTACAGGCTCAGAACATAAGTTGTATTACAGTAAGTGGCTCAGTAAACCATTACATTATTATTGCTCAGATCAAAGTACTACAATCTTCTAATCAGATAGAACATTAGAGTAATTAAAGTAATGATCTCAGGAGACAGCTGGAAATCTTAAAACTCTCTACACTTTGTCTACACTAATCAGATAGTAATAGTATAAGAACCTTCTACTTCTTTCAATGTAAATCTTGCTTTTCCTTTTGTATAACATTTCCTATAGCCAGAATACAGACTACTTAAATTTTCTTCATACATTTTCACCCTATTTTCTTCTAACCTCTAGTAAAAGGTTCTCTTATTTGTTCTGCATATTTTGTTATTTTTCTTTTGTTCAACTATAACATTTCCCTATTAGTACTATACTTTTTCCAGAACTCAGAAAACTATAAATACAGTTACTTATGTACTAGATACAGAGGGGAATTCAGTTAGTTCACCTATTAATTTAGCTCTCATCATTTGTCTCAAAGTCCTCTAGTATAAGGTATAGTCTTAGTCTTTATTGTTTCTGTATTAGTTTGTTTGTTGTGTACTTTACAAGTACACATTCTATTATTTATGTCTCTCTTCCAAGGTTGTAACTGTACTAGAAGAACTCACACCTGTTCAGAACCACTCTAGTCTTATAAGACTTATAGTTTAGCTCCCCCTCAAACTTAACAAATCACCTGTGTTCTTCTTATAGACACTATAAAGGAGTTTCACTATCCTACACAACAGAAATATAGAACACAAGTACTAGAATGTAGTCAGAACTTGTAAAACAGACAGAAAGAGAGAGTGAGACAAGTACAAGGTATATAGAGTAAGTCTAAGAGTACAGGACTACCTAGAGTAGACAAGATCAAAACTATAGGACTAGTCTGATCTTATACACTTATATATACTAAACTATACAAGAGTACTCAGGGAATGATGAGCCACAAGAAAATGAAGGAAGGGACAGTCAAAGATAAATGTACAAAGAATGAAGGGATAGACAAAGGGTAAGAGACTATAGAATGAACAAAGAATGAAGAGGTGGTCAAAGGAACAGAATAATAAAGTAAGGAGGGGTAGTAGTAAGAGTCTGTCTGTATATAGTTTATAAACAGTACTCCTGAGGGACAGAAGTCCTAAGTTCTAGTACAGAAGGGTGTAGAACCTACAGAACTGAAGGTGCAAGAGTAGAGAACTGTAACAGTTCTGTTAATACAATGTCTGTTTTGCTTAGATAGTCTGAATTAATTTCACAATTGTATTAAATGTCTAACAGTTCTGGTTTTCATTCTGTTCCTTACACTTTGTGTATTACTCTTACTTTGTACTTTCCTTTTACTTTCTATGAATACAATTATTTGTCTGGACTCTTGAGTGTTTCTTCTACACTCTTGTATTAATAGTTATAATCTCTATTATCTGTTAGTACTATAGTATGTCTGGCTTTTGTTCTATAGCCTACCTAAAGTATTTCACACTTTTCTGTTACTATACTATTGAGTCTACTCTTGTTTGATGAAGGAGTTGCTTTCTCCTCTTCCTAAAACATTCTATCAAATTTGTACATTCTCTTATTCAAATCTTTAATGTTTATCAAACTGTAGAATAGGCTAACATGTCCTATATCTATCTTAATTGCTCTAGCTCTTACAATGTGTCTGAAGGTCTTACTTACCTTCTAGAAGTCTTGTTCCTTATTGAATCTCTGTGGTTCTGATACCTGGCTCTCCTAACTTTTGTTACTCTTGTGTTCTGAGTCCTAGCTACTTTCTTTACTATCTAAAAGGGTCTTAGGTGTTTAATTACCCTCTATATTACTATTGTTAATGTGTTTCTATTCTAAAGTAAGTGTGCTCACTAGATACTCATCTATACTCTCACTAATACTGACTATATGTACTCTATAACTCTTGTACTAGCTTGTAAATTCCTTAATACTTACTGTTAGCTCTCTATATCAACTTAGTAAATTCTCAAACTAAATTGCCTGTCCTCTATTAAGTGAATCTTCAAACTTGGTAGTCTAAAATTGATCAAGCAAACCCTCAAGCTCAATCACCTGTACTCAGTCAGTTGAATCCTTAAACTTAACCTTCTGTACTTGATTAGACAAATCCTCAAATCTAATTGTCTAAGTGTTTCTACTCTTTATACCTTTGTTTACTACTCCTACAAGTCTAGTAGTGTAAGTACTCACTAGTTTCTACTCTACAGTGTATGTTTGACTAACTATATGTGCTGGTACAATTACATACCTTAGTTCTATGTTACTTGTATGTAAAGGTTCATTAGGGTGCCTCTAGCCTTGTACAGACAAGGACCTATCACCTAGTATAAGTTTATTAGGTTGCCTTCAGCCTACAAGGGACAAGGACTTACATTCTAGCATGTTAGTATTAATATACAGACTTGGGTACCCTCTAGGAATTGTCTGTTAAGGCTTAGCAGTCACATTGTAATCAATATCTAATAGGTAATCTTGTTGTCTATTACTTGTAAACTTGATACACACCTGTTCATTCCTTTTTGCCTTTACAGATGCCTGGTCCTTGACCCATCTGATTGATACAAACCTCTAGTGTATCCAGTACTAGTCTATATTAATATGTGCTAATGTGTTCTAGAAGCATTCTACAGTATTCTAAGGGCCTGTTCAGTGTGTATAATGTTGTAAGATACTCCTGCCAAAAAAGAGTGTGTGATCTTACAAGATCATAGTGTGTCACATTACAGTCTACAAGCTGTTCAGTGTACACAATCTTAAAGCAGTATCTTACAATACATTGCCCTTCTCCCACCAAAAATGAAAAACAGCTCAGACCTGTTTTTCATAATGAGATTACAGTATCTCATTTTGTTTTTCATCCACTCAGCACACACTACACTACAAAAAAAATCTCAAAAAATCTCAAAAATAATGTAGTTGTAGGGGCCTTTCAGAATCAGGCTTTATTTTATTTTTATAAGTATTGTAATATACTTATCTTACCATTCACAAAAAGTGAGCATTCTGTAACAACTCAAATGCCAACCATGAGAAAAAAGTACAAGATATTCCCACAGTTGACATCATAATGTGCACTTGTGTACATCACAATCTTACAGGATCATGATCTAGTACAATGTGTGCACTGAACAGGCCCTAAAGTATTATGAACCTACTAAAGGCTAATCTAGTAAGTAGTCTCTGTTTCTACTCAAAAATTGTAACTTTACTCATGGAAAATTCCTGATAGGTACTAGACAACAAGGGAGACCTAGGGTTGATCAGACTCTTCAGTTCCTTAGTGTCTAGCAAGGGGTTTCAGTACTAGGTGGGTACAGTCAAAAATATGTAAGGAAACTTACTGTTCCTTACAAGAGAATTCTAATCACCCTTAGTTCACTCAACTACTGACTAGGATAACCTAGTACTTGAGCAAGGGGTCAGGGGAAAAGAATCCTCTTTACCTAGTAATTAATACTGTCTTTTATAGGGTAGTACACATGTAGATACATGAGGAGGAAGTGTAACTAACTACAATGAGAATATATGCACTTGTGGGTCTCACTGTGTAGTGATCTGACACAATCAGCAATGTAGTAATAATAAAATACAAACTAGTAAATCAAATCCTTACACTACCCAAAAATGTTTTATCTAGAGAGATTCAGTTCAGTAGTGCTTGGGAGATAATTGTATGATCAACATACCTCTTTATCCAACATTGTCACTTGAATTGCGTTTCCTGTTAGTGAAATTCTGGCCGAAGAAATTGTAGTACAGACAAGCATGGTAGACCAAGATAGTCAACATTGCCCTGCTGAAGTAATTTGCAGTAGTGTAGGTGGAGAAAAACAATTGCACCACGCTTGGATCAGTGTCTTCAACATCAGAGCGGATGAAGAATGAGTAGGCACGTCCGTAGTCAAGAGTCTGATTCGCCATTGGAGAAGAGAGCGCAAGGAAGTACAAGGGAAGCTAAGGATGCATCGCAGACTAGTTGTCTTCTTATAAGGATTATGAACAAAAAATTGATACGAAGTGTGATTCTGCTTTGTCCGAGATGCAAAATGAGAGCATTCTGCTCGAAGTTTCTTCCTGCAAGATCAAGTAGCTGAGCTGGGACACGATCAAGCGCTGTTGAGACAATTTGTAAAGGAAGCAGATACTCATGCTTGTTGCACTGCGATGAAACCGAGAAAACAAGGGCACACATGGACTTCGCGTTGGTGATCACTGATCAGCGGTAGGCCCTTCACCCGTGACCGCAGCCCCTCTGATATTGAAGAAGAGCGTGAACTCGATAGTTTGATTTACTGCATTGCAGGACTCGTACTTCATATCAAGTCTCAAGGATGTATCGAATGATCTCTAGCAGCATCCACAGCGAGTTGTGACTATTGCCGCAGTTCGTAGAGGTTCGTAGACCTGTCATCGGCCGTTCTTTAGAACCGCAACATGCGTCGAAGTCTTTGTTGAGCTACATAATACATTGTCTAAATGACACCATACACCATACATGTCATTTCAATACACCTTTCATGTTAGAGCATGGTGAAGAACGAGCCGTTGCCCCGACCTCAATCATCCCATGACTGGACAACCAAACTCCTCTGCAACCCTGCGTCTTGGATCGTCTGCGCGTCCTCACCCAGGATACGGGTCAGCTGCATGGTCTGAATCGTACAAGAACGCGTCAAGATTTCAGGATGTGCCCGACAGAACATAAATTGTCAATTGGATACATAAACGGTAGTTCTTGAGAGGTTTGGACATGGACATACGCATTGATCATGTTCCGGATGTCCCTTGCAGTACTCGTGAGGGTCATTCTCATTCGTACCCTAATACATCATTTACTAAAGGCAAAGATGCTGTGAGCCAAGCAGGCACACCTCGTGCCGTCTGCAAGCTAAATCGCTACAACCATGATTTCTTACATCTCATCTACTTTCATATTTTGTCCGTAAGCATTCTCGATCTTCAGAGTTCTGCTGGCGCCGGCACAAAAGCTGTAGCTGTAGGAGACTGAAAGGGTTCCACAGCTGGATCCTCGGGTGGTGAATATGCACGTTGCATTGCTGGGCCATTGCCCAGTGCCTTTGAATGCTTGACGAAGATGTGGCCGGGGGAGTATATAATTTCTGTGCATCCACTTAGCTACACGAAGCTCAACAGGCTGTCCATGACGGACATTCAAGAGATTGGCTGGTGCTTGTCTGTGTATGCACGAGAATATATTTCAGTGTACATTCCACACTGTTTTAATGGGATTGCATTACCCTTGGCAGAGATATTGATGGTACAGGGGATCTCTGCATTCGCAGGTTCGTTACAGTCTAGCAGCAGCCTGTTCTCAATTCCGAACCCATTGTGCCAAATCTAATGCAACGTGTCACTTGCTCCTTTGTTGGATGTTACTCAGCAGCAGAGTTCGGATTGGGCGCAGATTTGCTTTCGACTTCGTTGTTACCGGGTGTACCACCAGACCTACTGAACGTACTGCATGGTGCAGGCACTGCAGACAAGCCAGAAGGGAGCCCAGCATGAACAGGGAGCATGTAAGGAAATCAATTGAGTGGATGATCGAGAGAAGACTGACTCGGCGCCCTTTTTTGAAGAGGTTTCTGACTAGGTCGGCGCCTTGTGCATCTGAGCCATCGCCTCTGCAGATTGGATTTCATACAGCAAGACGACAACGACGCGCTGGAGGCATTGTCACACAGCGTCACACTATATCGTCTGGTGACTGATTCACCCGTCGCACAACCGAAAAGCACACCCCCTACTGCACACTCATTCAACACACGTTCGTCTCTGTTTCTCATTCAACATGTCCTCCACAAGACCAAACACTCACCGTTATGTTGTCTATCTGCCCTACATTGAGAAGGGCAGGGCTCGTCCTTTTCGCGTTTCAGAGGACGCAGACGTCCAAGACCTCATAAATGAAATTTGTCAATACGCAGGATACAAAAATGCCTTGGACAACCAAATTGTAGACCTTTACAAGGTTTTTCTTCGACATCTCCTATTCTGTCATTGTGCTGACTGACGACTGAAATTTTTCAGTGTGGTAGTCTTGAGAGGAAGCCGCTCGAATCACTTTATGGCCGTGCCTTAGACTGGCTTCGTGGACACGCAGGTGATGGTGGAGAAAAAACGCCTTTGGATCCTGCAGACCGTCTGAACGAGTATTTCCCTGAGGGACCTACCTCGGAGCATGAGAAGATGGTAGATATTATTGCTATGGTTGGTTCAAGTACGTATTTTGTTCTCTTCCCGTCCACAAGATTTGGCCGGTTCCTCGCAAGTTTGACTAATCTGTATGTACAGCTGGGGTGTCATCTTCTGCAGAAGGCCACAGAGATGACAGTGAAATGACGGACATGATAGATATCATTGCTCTGGCTGAATCAAGTACGTATTTTGTTCTCTGCCCGTCCACAAGATTTGGCCGGTTCCTTGCACTTTGGCTAATCTATATGTACAGCAGGCATTCCGGCCAAACGCTCGCGTCCTAGTGAAGAAGAATCCCCTCAGGCATTACAACGACAACGACAACAACAACTCCAGGAGAGGCCAGTACTTTTTCCCACAGAAGCAGGGGCATACTTTCATACAGACCCTGGTGCCTTCGGTTGGCAGCTTGAGCATGTGGATGACTGGTGGAATTTCTATGTGTTCTGGACCAACCAATCATCCGACATCGAGGTCCAGCAGTCCGTTGTTGCCCTGCCACAAACA